TTGGGATTTGGAGGAAAGGGGAGATAGATCCAAAAGTAGGAAAGCAGAAGAACGCAAGGAAACTGGAAAAGATATTTCAGGCCTTTGCCCTAGTTTACTGAATGACGATTTTTTAGAAAAAGGGAGTGGTAGACAAGAGGAGGAAGGTGCAGTGAATTGGCAGCAGGAAAATGAAAGAGCGGAGCAGGGTAGTTCATCTGATGTCGGAGAGATTGATTTAAGTGGAGAAGGAGACCTCACGGAAGAGGGAGAAGTTGGAGACCTTTAGCAACATAAGTAATTGGTCTCATCTTCAGGGATGGAGAGCTTTAAAATCTTGACGTGGAATGTGAGAGAATTAAATACTCCTCAAAAGAGGAAAAAGATATTCAATTATCTTGTAAAAACCAAGGCAGACATAGTCTGTCTTCAAGAGACTCATATTGGAACTAAGGACTCCAAATATTTAGAACAGAAAAGATTAGGCAAAGCCTATTTGGCGACAACTCAAAGTAAAAAGAAAGGGGTAGTGATTTATGTGGCTAATAAATATGAATCTAAATTAATTAAGACAGATATAAATGGACAATATGTTATTGTAGAAATTAATGTTAGAGGGGAAATTTTTTTGTTAGTTGGCGTCTACACTCCGCTATCTAATAAAAAGAACTTTGTCCAGCTTTTAACCCAACTACAAGAATGTAATAATGAACTTATTGTTGCATTAGGAGATTGGAATGGGGTAATTGACCCTCAACTGGATAGATCTTTGCCCAATATTAAACACCAGGGGAAATTGCCAAAAAGCTTTTTTGACCTTCAGGAATTATTGGCCCTAAAAGATATTTGGAGATTGTTATATAATAATTCTAAAGATTACATTTTCTTCTCCCATGTGCATTCTACATGGTTGAGAATTGATATGTTTTTGGTTTCTTCCCAACTATGTGATCGGGTAATGGATTGGATGAGGAAAAACAGATTGAAGCTGAATCCAGACAAAACGGAGGTACTGACAGTCACAGACCCGAAACCAGATTTGGGTATACAGTCTCCAGTCCTGGATGGAGTCACACTCTCCTCTAAGGACTGTGTTCGCAGTTTGGGGGTGTTCCTAGACTCGTCGCTTCACATGACTAGTCAGGTGAATGCGGCAGTCAGGAGTGCCTGTTATCAGCTCCGGCTGATACGCCAACTGCACCCTTATCTGGACATGAGGGACTTGGAAACTGTGGTACATGCTTTGGAAACCTCATGTCTGGACTACTGAAATGCACTCTACATGGGGCTGCCCTTGTGCCTAACCCAAAAACTCCAATTGGTTCAAAATATGGCAGCCAGGTTAATTACTGGAACATCTAGGAGGGAGCACATAACACCTGTGCTTAAATCCCTCCACTGGCTGCCAATTAGTTTCTGGGTGCGGTACAAGGTGTTGGTTTTGACCTTTAAAGTCTTACATGGCTTGGGTCCATCTTATCTTAGCCTGGAGGGAGAGAAGGGAGGCCATCTCATTGGGCCTAGCCTGAAGAAGAAGGGCCCTCCATCCAGTCCATCTGCTTTGGTCCAGGCTTTTGAGGGAGAGAAGATCTGA